GCATATGGATTGACAACCTTTAAAACTTTAGTATTGCATAATATGCAGGTTCTTTTCTTGTTTGTAGAAATACCCAATTCTTGTTTGAAATTATTAAACAGTGTGCCATCTGTATGCCTCCCCAGATTCCATAGGTTATGTGATCTTTAAAAACAGGTTGCCTTTGACCTAACTTTTGGTATGAACTCTTCCATCTGGAACCTTCTTTTTTGTGTACTTGTTCAGTGCTCTGTGTACTTCAGCACTCTGTTATTAAGTATTAATTATGGACACTGGCATTCTCAGGAATAATGACAATAACTAAAAATAACATTAGACTGAACAGAGTGGTATTTTCCAGAGAATAGTTTGAAATTGGTGAATAATCAATCCATCATGGCTTACTGCTGCTGCTGCTGCTGTGTGTGTGTGTGTGTGTGTGTGTGTGTGTGTGTGTGTGTGTGTGAGAGAGAGAGAGAGAGAGAGAACATTATTGAAGAGTGGGATAGTTGGATAGTTGTTACCCAGGGGAAATTTTTATAGATGATGGTTGTAATCATATAATTAGCACACTTGTGAAGTTAAAAAAGAAAAAAAAACACCCTTTTTTGATACTTCATATAATATTTCTTGTAGGTTATGATTGAGAGATTGTTGACAGTACTTGGTAATGGGAGATCACATGATTGGTTCTGGCATACCTGTTTCTAGGAAATGTATTTGGATGGGAATTGTGTTACTATTTTAAAACAAATTGATATGAAAATTTTAAATTTACTTATTGAGTTATGGAACACCCCATAGTAGGATATTTATTTTTTAAAGTCCATTCCAAAGTACATAGAAGTCAATATTTTAGGCATCTGTATACTTAACACTAATCAATTTAAATATTATTCTCTGGTGCTTTTTTATGGATTTAATTTTGTTACCTCTTTCCCTTAATCCCCCTGCCCCTGAATTAGACTAATGTTATTATAATGGTTTCTATGACTTAGTTTAGAAAACTTAACAAAAATAACTTGGTTCAATTAGTTTTTATTATGGTAGATATTGTGGGTATCAAACAAAAAAGTAGTATCAGACATAGTTTTGGTTTCCAAGGTTGAAAAGCTAGGTAAAGTGAACATTCTTAAAATAGTTGAGACCATTGGAGTGTTCTGGTGTATCTTCCAAATAATAAGGAATAAGATGTTCAGAGAAAATTTAAATATCAAATAAGGATAATTGGAATTTAGAGGAACCGTAGAACAAAGTCAGTAGAGGAGATGACATCCCAAATAGGAACAAACAGTATGAATAAAGAAATCATTTAGACATGTGAGGAGATTATTAAGTAGCCTTAAATGAGAAGATTGAAGGATGTAGCATGAATGGTTGTATAGTTAGGGCAAAAAGTATCCTTAGGTAGGGAGTGATCACATTAGGGAAGGATTTGAAAATAAAAGTGGGTAGCTGGGAAGTATGAATAGCTTGTCTTTGCAATGGATTGGTAAGATAAACATTTGGAGGGTTGTTTTAGAATTGGTGGACAAGATAAAACCAAAGACAATTCAAATAGGCATCTATTGCAATAGTCTGGGTAAGTTAATGAGTGCCTATGTTAAGAGAATGTTAGTGGAAAATAGGAAGGGATAACTAAGACACATGTTTACTGGAAGAAAGTTGGTCATTAACATATATTTCACACATTATTTGTTGAGTAAATGAGGGATTGGGAGTGGGAATGAATATAGAGAATAAAAGATATAATAATGATCATTTCCTCCTTTATATTTTGAGAGATACTATTGATAGAAGATGGATAGATTTTTTAAAAAATCTAGGTAGAGGGAAATGTGTTCACTTTTCACATACTGAATTTGGATTCTACAAGTAGAATTAGTCTTATAAGTAATTGGATATATGGCTTTGGAGCATAGTCAATTAATTTAGGGGCAGAGATGTTGATTAAAGATGTATATATCATTGGTCCTCTGTATCTTTGTGTTCCATATTCAGTTGATTTAATCAAGTGAGATAGAAAACATTCAGAAAAATATTATTTCTGTGTTGTACATAAATAGACTTTTTTCTTTGTTATTATTTCCTAAACAATATGGTACCATGGCTACTTACACATTACACTAGATATAATAAGTAATCCAGAGATGGTTTACAATATACAAGAGAATGTGAGTAGGTTATATGCAGAAACTAAACCATTTTATATAAGGGTCTTGAGTATCTGCAGATTTTGGTAACTGGGGAGTATTGAAACCAGCTCCCCATGAATACTGAGGAGTGACTGTATATGCTTATGTATTTAAAGGAACTTTCTAAGGGAGTTTCTAAAGAGAAAATTGGAAGATCAATAAATAAGCTTTAGGAACACTTCAGAAGAAATTATTTAACATTTAGGTTCCCAAAAGCCTTGTTTCATCTTTTGATTTTTATTTACTTAGTTTGAACAGTACATTTTAAAAGCTGTTTTAAGATATAGTTTTAAGCACAGTTGTTTAAAAATAATTGTTTAAATCAATATATCCCAATGTATGTTGATCTGATTCTGAAATCATAATATTCTGATTTTTCCTAACTTTTCCTAGATTGCTGTGCTAAGGAGGCAGCAACGTATGATAAAAAATCGAGAGTCGGCTTGTCAGTCACGCAAGAAAAAGAAAGAATATATGCTAGGGTTAGAGGCTAGATTAAAGGCTGCCCTTTCAGAGAATGAACAACTGAAGAAAGAGAATGGGTCACTGAAACGGCAATTGGACGAAGTTGTATCAGAGGTGAGTGTGATGGAGCTTGCTAAGATGGGTTAAAGTTGTTTTTTCTTATAAATTAATAAACTTTTACATCTTAAATGATATAAAACAATAGTGCCAGGAAAACAAGGGTACGATAAGTCCAAAAACAGTTTTCAGTAAGGATAAAAAATTTGTACTTCCCAATCTATTTACAAGTCTACTTTTCTTGGGTTTCTTCTAACTCATTCATTACCTTAGTACCTTCTATACTCCTGACTAAGTGAATCAGATTGAGACTCCTGGATAGTCCTATGAGGGCTTCCCTTTTAAAAAAGAAAATATAAAATAATATGTTATATTTTCTCTGACTGCCTGCACTGCTTTTTGCCTTTGGTTGTCATACTTGTCCCAGGGTTAATCATCTCTCCTCAGTTCTGTTCGTAAGTCTGCTGCCTTAGGATTTCCCACTGCAGTGGAGTTCTGAACCAAATAGATACCTGTTTAGTGGGATTTCTTATATTGTTCTTTCTATCTTAACGCCTGAGCACATGGTAACACTCCAGTGCATTGGTGAAAACAGTGATTTTAAAGACAGGGAGACAGACTACAGAAGTGTCTCAAAATTCTTTGGGGATTCATGAAAATATAAAACTATTGAATTCTCTGCTCTATTTGTTTCTCTTTGACTTGTCTCTTTTGGAAAAGAAATCTTGGAAAGCTCTACTTCAGTATTTCAAAAAGAACTATTTTCTCAACTTTTTAGTTTTGTTTTTGTTTTTAAATAAGAAAAGGCATTCATATAGCTAGTAAAGAGGAAAGGTTTTTTTTTTTTTTTAGATAATGCTTTTTGTGAGATTGATGTGTAGTTTAATTGTATTTCATCTGGTCATTTCCTTTAGAACCAGAGGCTTAAAGTCCCTAGTCCAAAGCGAAGAGCTATCTGTGTCATGATAGTATTGGCATTTGTAATACTGAACTATGGACCCATGAGGTAAGTATATAGCTATTTGTTTTGGATAATAATGCTAAAAATTGGAATACTCATTGTTTGTTATTCTTTAGCTCTAGTAATAATCTAGAGATAAACTGATTTGTTTAGAACAAAATCAGCATCCTAGATACGTAAAGAGTAATTGGACAGGAGCCATACCTTCAAATATATCATGATCCAACTGAGAGAAGAGACATGTAACTATGGTATAATATGGTGAGTATAATTACTACAGTATGAACAAAGCACTGAAAGAACATAAATGAGAGTGCGGGTTCTTAGGGTGACAGTTTATGACATATTGATAAGTGTAACAGCACATTTTTTTGTTGAATGATTGAATGACAAGGAAAATCCCCAATGAGGAATCTGAACTTTGAAGTGTAATACCAGTTTTCCAGATGGAAAGTTTGGGAAAGACATGTCAAGTAGGGGAAACAGCACATTTAAAGGCACCATGATGAAATGGTATGACGTTTTCAGAAAAAAATGAAAAGTTTGGTGTCTCTTATACATACAAGGAGTGTGCATGAGCCTCTTGGGCATTTGTGGAGCCAGATAATGAAGGGTACTTTTATACAATGAGACATCCCTAAGTTTTTAGGCAGAGGGTAATGTAATTAGCTTTGTGTATCTGGGAGATGACTGTGAGGGTTATATTGAGAATGGACTGGATCAAAGGCAGAGACAGCATTAGAATACCTTTGCTTTAATTCAGGTAATTATTGAGAGTCTAAACTTGAACCATGGTTATCAAGGATGGACTATCTCAGATACAGACTCTGAGATTTAATACCTGGTACAATGAAGACATGAGGAAGAAAAAAAGGGAAATTAAAGATAATTCCAAAATTTCTATCTTAAGAGACGGAATGGTGATACAGTTATCTGAAATAGCAATCAGAAACATGGACAATTTATGATGGCGACACAGTTTTTATTTTTAGCATGGGAAGTTTGGGACAGTGACTGAATACTGACACTACCATTATAGACACATAGATAGATAGTGGTAGTGGAGTAAATGAGATTATCCAAGGAGAACAATAGACAAAGGAGAGTAATAAGAGTAATAAGAACATGAACAGGGGCTGGAGATATAACTCAGTTGGTAGAGTGCTTACCTAGCATGCATAACACCTTGGGTTCAATATCCAGCACCACCAGAAAAAAAAAAAAAGAAAGAAAGAACATGAACAGTAGAACAAGAAAATCAGAGTAAATAGGGTTAGGGACAGAATCAAAGAAATGGTTTTCTTAAGCTAAGATAAAAAGAATTTCAAGGTGGTCTTGGGCAATGGTATCACATGCTGCTGAGAGTTTGGGAGAGGCAGAAAATGGAATTTGATAATTAACAGGTCAATGGTAGTCTTGAAAAGCAGATTTATTGGGGTAGACGTGGAGTCTAGCTTAAAGTTAGTTGAAAACTGAAAGGAGCTATGAGTTGAATAATTTTCTCTCTCTTTATTATTAGGCAGTGTGGGGGATTGAGTCCAGGGGTGCTTTACCACTGAGCTAAACTCCCAGCTGTTTTATTTTGAATAGGGTCTTGCTAAGTTGCCAAGGTGAGCCTCAAATTTGTGATCCTCTTGCCTCAGCCTCCACAGTAGTTGGGTTAATAGGCATGTGCCACCATGACTGGTGAATAATCTCTTTTTTATTAATGAAGTTAGTTATGAAGATTATCAAGCTGTAGAAAACTAGAGAAAGTTGTTATAAACCCACTTAAACCCATTATCTAGCTTCAGTGATTATCAACATTTTGCCAGTTTTCCTGAAAAGACTTTAGGAAGTCAAGACAGTGAGGATGGACTATCCTTTTAAGAACTTTGGGGTAAAAAGGTGGTAAGAAAATGGCAGGATTAAATAGTTTCTTTTTAGGCTATAAGAAACTTTATGAATGCTCATTTAGTTTTTGGTTAATTTTTAGTGAAATTTACTTCTTAGAAATCATTACGTCTTTAAAACTAATTATGTTATCTTCCTTTATTTTTCTCTCCCTGCTGCAAGCCTGCAACCAGACTTAACTATCCTAATTCTTGACCTATTTGTCCTATGATTTAGTTTTCAAATCCTCTCCTGGCTCCAGTTCCTCTCAAATTGACTTGCTTCAGTGCTCAGCCTTACTAAAGGCTTTGTGCTTGTCACTGATGATCAGTGTACATGTTGGAAGGTGATATCCTGGTCTGAATGCATTTCCTCAGGTATATTCTGACCTATGTAGAATGTAGTGAAATTCTTACTTCCTAAGAGCTCTCCCTCTTTATTTTTTCCATGAAGCCTTATATCATTGGCTCTATCACTGAGTCACCCCTTTTTTATTTTGAGACAGTGTCTCACTAAGTTGCTCAGGCTGACCTTCAACTTGAGATCCTCTTGCATCAGCTTCCTGAATTGCTAGGATTATAGGCATG